ACTTGTTGAGCTTTTTGGATCTTACCAAAAACTCTCCAAGAACTGCAAAAGTCGGCTGCCCAAAGACTCATCAGTGATTAGGGTTTTAATCTCCTTCTTATAAAGTGATTTTACCCTAATTTCGGTTCAATTACGAAAATACCCAGAGTCCAGAATGGACGGACCAGAAATGCACGTGGACCGTCCATTCCAGAAGCAGAACGGACGGTCTGCATTAGTGGACCGTCCATTCCAGACCTTCTGGAACATGATCAGAAGTCAGAACGGACGTTCCGCAATGTAGAACGGACGTTCTGTATGGACAGAACGGACGGTCCAGGACAGACCTTCCGTTCTGAGCCACTCAGTCCGTCACCCTTGGACCGCCCGGTCTGGCTTACCCAGAACGGACGGTCTAGGGTAGGCCTCCGTGATCAGATCACGTTTTCCCCCGTTCTCATCCCCGATCATACCCGAAACCGATCCGAATTCTTCTGTACACCCAAAATTCAAACTCCTGCACTCTATGCAACATGAAACATGCAATCTACACTAGATTCAATCATCAAACATGCATAGAAATCAAAGCAAACATGGATTTAAACAATTCAAATCCTAAAACGTGTGTGATCGGGTTCTACGAAATCAAAACAGAGCAATCAGGCTCTGATACCACTGTTGGGTTTCCTGGGATCTCTAGAGCGAATCATATTCCTAAGAGATCGATTCTAGGGTTTGCGCAGCGGATATAAAACAAAAATTTAATAAACCCTAGAACCATGCTTCTAATGAATCGTAGAAACGTTAGAACGCTTACCTCAATCGATCCGGGGCCTGTATCAACTGAAGAATTCGTCCGATCACTTAGGCAGAAAAATTACCTCGCCTTCTACACGTATCCACACCTCGGGATGGATTCCAACGATTGGAACTTGTCTGCTAGGACTCGAATCACTATTCGATATGTGCACCGAGAAATCTCGAGACTTAGAACTCGTTTTGGATCTCCAAAAACTCTCTCTTTTCTGCCAAAAGTC